TTCTAAAAAGAAACTTATCATTAAACTGAATTTCACCTATAATATTGTAGATTAAATTAAATAAATATTTCTTAAATAATTGAAAGTCTAAAAATATTCTTTATCCGATTCAGCTTCTATTCTTGCTAAGAAGAGTCAGTATACAAATATTAAGAACACTCAATCTCTACTTCTATTTCCTTCCATCCCAAAAAACGAAAATCTCTTCCTTATTCTACTATAATACAACAAATATACATATTCCATTTCGAAAACTGCAGAACCATTACCCGAGTGAAAATCTTCCGTACAAAGATCTCTTACCAATGAATACACTAATTATTCCCTGGTAACAATCGAATAAAATTTATTTGCAATTCATTCGTTATTTTGAATAACTTGCCCAACACCGCTCGAAAGATAGTCGACCGTGTACCGTCGTAGATACAGGGGACCGATGGAAAAGAGAAAAAAATCGACTGGGTGTTCGTTCCCGGCCTAGTCCGGCGCCGGAGCGAACGATGGCTGATGCGTGTTCCACGGCGATAGAAACCGAAAAAAGTCGTAGGTGTTTCATCCTCGTAACCACCCGGCTCGAAGCAACAGCGCGGAGGAGCGTGCGCGCGAGGAGGACGAACGGGAGGAGCGGCGGAGAGAAAAAGCCGTAATCACGAGCAGGTACAAGGTACACGGCACCACGTTGCGAGGATTAATGATTCGCGTCCGCGACGTCGTTACGAAGCGAGAAAGCATTTTCCATTTTTTTCGCCGTCCGCGCCCTTGGGACTCCCCCTTTGTTGGTCAGCGCGTCAGGCTCGGTCCAGAGGTTATGTTCGCCGAGGAAGATCGGGCGCCCGCTCAGCTCGCGAGGAACCGATCGCTCCAGGAAGCTGGATACTACCGGTGCCGGACTGCCGGCGCGCACTCGCGTGTGACTGCTCGTTTTATCTGTAACACGATCGAGAGATTCGTTGATCCCAATGGTTAATTAAACGGCGACCTTGGCGAGAGAGTAAACGGAAGGATGGGAACCAAAGGTGCAACTCGAGAAACGGCCGAACTCGCGTCTACTCCACGAGATCAGCTTTTAGATTGACTTGCAATTGGTAACTGGGCACCTGTGTTGGGTATTATTGGAATGAAACCGTACTTGAATAACGATAGTGGGGGAAGAATGAATCGTTATTGGGTTGTTTGTTGTTCGAGTTATTCGGTACTCGTGTAGGCAACATTTATGCTTCCATATTTCGTGGAAGGGTTTGCTCTGCCGAAGGTTTGCTTGGAAATTTTTATTGCTGTATATAGAAGGAAATGAAAGAAAACCTTTTTATATAATTATTGTAATACATACATGTATATGAATAAGTTTTTAAACAATTTGAATTCTTTTTTGTTTCAGTAGTCTTGTACTAACGGTAAATTATATCTGTATATTTGTTATTAAAATCACTCATAGTTTACATAACAAGAAATAAAAACATCTGGTTAGCGTTATTACAACAGACATCGTACAATGTAATAATAAATGTATTTACAGCGATACTCCTCCTTCTCCCGCGATAGCGTAACGCAGAAGCCTAAAGCGCGACAACCACATAATTTCGCCGCGATATTTGCTCAACCAAAATTGCCTGACGAAACCATGGGTTTGCGTATCCGAAACTCAACAAGGTGTAATATTCCACATCACGATATACGCAATCGTGCAATTATAACCGCAGGAAGCCGGTCACAACTGCTTAGTTGCGCCAGCATTAAAGGGAACACCAACGTGGTTCGATAAAGTGGTTTAGAATACCGAAAATTAGAGACTCTACGGCTGACCGATTCCATAAACAGTAGTTTCGCACGAACAGGTGCAGGACTCCCGCTATTCATTAATATTTATCAACTGCCCCGAATCACGACTCACGTGTTCCGACTGACCTATTTCATTTTGCTACGTACCCGTCGCCACCTATCATTACATTTCACATCATAGGAAACGAATTAAAAAGTATCAAACCTATTCGTCGATCACTGTGTCGATTATGCTGTTCACTAATTCACGCGCCTCCCTTCCCTTCCTCTCTCTTTTTCGACCTCGTCGATACGCTACGCGCTGGCAGTGAGATAACTGGCGTTCGATTAGCTTTCTAATCTAACGGTTCGAATTTAGGCTCACCACCTGTTCTCAGACTTCTAGTCGCAACAGAATCGTTTAAGTATGGGATTTTTTTCAACAGCTAACGAGTTATTTGAATACGTTCCGTGTAGCTTAATGTGCACTTTGTATATTTAATAATTTGCATTCTTAGCTTGTTTTCTCACATTTTCCTTTGAATACCTATGCATTGGTTTTAGTTTTTCATTTGAAATGTGTGTCAATGGACAGTCAACTGATTGGAAACAATAATATTGGGAAGAGTGTAATAGAATATCAAAATGGCGACTGTCACTTGATGTAGGAACATGAGTAAAATTAATATATTGCGCTCGACAGAGAAGTGGAAAATAATTTATTAGATCCTTCAATGAATTATTGGTTAACAGAATCTTCGTATTTCATATCAAGTTTTCATGTGTCTGTCATTAATAACATATATCCAACAGACATTTCTTATACAAAAACTTTATATAAAAGCAACATAACCTATAAACAATCGCATTTCTCGTATTTCTTTCATGAAAATATCTCCGTCTGTTGAAATCGTTATTTCAATTCAATTATTTAGATTTGAAGAAACAAAACATAAGAATCATTAATTGCCAGCGACCGTCTGTAAACTGACGAATTTTCATTATCCAGCTGGATGTGTGCTAAATTATCCTTAGCTTCGTGAATGATTGTCTCAGAAATTGTGATCATAATAGGGATCCGACACGGAGGAAGTTTGAAAGCCCCTGGTCTAGGGAATCAGATACCCCCCCCCCTGTTTTTTTCTACGCAAATCAAAGAGGGACCCCTTTAGGGTTGCCTATATCCTTCCGCTAGGGTCTTCATCTATACCGCAAGCTGCTGCGTGGAATGTAGCAAACTCGATGCTTTTTTAAAGCGTGCATTGACGAAACTACTTCTCACGGGTCTTCCGCGACGGTTGTTAACAACGCGCCTTCCTTCGGTGTTAACATGCAATCACGAGTGAGACACGTAATCAAGACATCTAGGTTAATTGAATAAAAATCAATGTTGCTAATTGTCCGCGGATTAAAGCAAAAAACTATTTTGCTATTACCAATTTATCATCTTCAAAGTAAACTTGCACTTACAGTGGAATGGTATATTGTTCGCCTTTCTTCCAAGTTGTCGATAGTAAAATGTTAGACGTGTTTAGTAGCGAAAGTAAATAATACGACAAGGGGTTAACTGTGAAAATAAACATTCTACCGTCATGAAGGAAGAACCTATTACGGACAGGAAATGGAACTGAGATATTTACCACCGTGGACGTAACGTTCTCGATTTTTACGAATGTATCATTGCATTACGCGTTATAGGAACAACTGGAGGATCAAGATTATCTGAATAATTAGAGGACTTTAACGGAATATAACGATGAACATTGAATTATTTGTACTACTAGAAATTAAGTGACTATAATAGTTGTGTTAACAATTTTTATAATACTTGAAGCAAAACAAAAATTTGTTTCAGTATGTTAATCGTTTAGAAATAACATAAAAGAAAGTGAATCCTTACGTGCCTGATAGAGAAACTGAATTTCGTGAGTCTGAAGCAGCTTTATCGTCATTTTCTGTAATGATACATGACACATATGCTGTTTTTAATACGCAGTCCTGTTTCGCGTGAAAATTATGTAAGAAGTTTAAGTTTCTGATGGAGGAGTTGTTAATTATTACCAGTAATCGCCACTCGTAAAGAAACATCGGTTAATGGCTCTCGAGAATTATCGGGGCAGTTTAGGGGTTCAGTCCGATCAACCAGGCGAAAAACAAGGATCCACGAAGGAAGCCGTTGAAGGAAGATGCGCGTAACAGGTGCCAGACTGAAAAGAGATTCTTATTGCCAAGCAATCGATATTAATCAATGATCCAACGAGATGCAGCTGGCCCCCAACCATAAATGTCAGTCTTGAGAGTTGTAAATTCGTGGATTTATACCTTTCATCCGTCCTTAGCAAGGACTCGTCCTCCCTTTCTCGTTTCATGCTACTGAATATCCTGGTACACCTTTCTTCGTTTAATCTTTCTTCTCGTATACCTTATTACGTTTATTCGTTATCCACGTTTTTATTTTCGTACAGACAACAAAAGAATCGACGAAGGCACTTTATGTATATCATCAAGGATACAACCTGTAAGATATTCACATACATTGTATGGCAGACCGACGCGCTCGCGACCAGCGCGCATTTCATTTGTTTCAAGCGAGACATTTTGCAGCCGTCTGCGACGGTCAGTCTTTACGTGAACATGGTGCGGAATAAAACGTGTTATTCATAATTGCCCGTTATTTAATTATGAAAGCCTATTCCAGACATTACAATTGGCGTAGAGGATAAACAGTGAAATATTAGTGCATCAGTGAACAGAGTGGGACCGAGGATCGTGATTCAGATAGCTCAGAGAAATAACGCAGATCAAGAAATACCAAAACTGGCGACGACAATTGACTCGATCGAGTACACTAGGAATGAAAATTGGACAATGTGATTCGAGAAGTTGGAACAGTATGTTTTGGCAAACAATGTCCAAAACGGGAAAAAAGCATTTTTTCCTAACATTGATGGGTGGCGAGGGATATGCAATCCTGAGAAATTTGTGTGCCGCAGCGTTACTGTCGACGAAAACATTCGCTGAATTGTCGACGATAATGAAAAAACACGTGGAACCTACACCAAATGTGATTCTCGAGCGCTACAAATTTAAACAACGTCGGCAACGGGACGACGAGGATATAAAAGTCTTCATAGAAGAATTGAAGAGAGTCTCAACGCATTGCAGTTTCGGGGAAAATCAGCGGAACAGCATGCGAGACCGATTTGTGTGGGGACTCCAAGCAGAAGCATTGCAAAAACGTCTACTGCGCGAAAAAGACTTAACGTTCGACAAGGCGGCGGAGATGGCTACAGCATTCGAATCAGCGAGCCGAGGCGCAGCAGGTATTCACAACAACGGAATAGGCCGGATCGCGGACCAACCAGCCGTCAACTACATTTCCGACAACAAAAAGACGAAACCGGGCGGATCCCGATCATCATGGGATAATCGTAATAATAATCAAGGTAAGAAAAAATGTTTTCGTTGCGGTAAAGATAATCATGTTGCTTCAAATTGTAGATTTCGCGATAATAAATGCAATGAATGTAATAAAATAGGGCATCTCGCGCAGGTTTGCAAAACGAAAAGGCTGGAAAACGGAAATATAGACGCGGAAAATTTTAAGGGAAAAGGGCAAAAGCGAAACGCGAATAATCAAAATTTCTTATCCGAGTGCTAAGATTTAAATGATAATTGGGATAAGGTTTTTCGAATCGCGAAAGAATCGAGCGAGAATATTAAGAATGTTAAGTCTTATGAGATACCGTTATATGTAGAGAATAGTGACATAACGTTCGAAATAGACACGGGTTCACTGATATCCGCGATTTCCGCAATGTTTTCTGAGAATTCGGTATTAAGTAAAGCGACGTTGCATAGAACCAATCGAAAGTTCAACAATCTGGTAAGAAACATAAAATTGAAGATAGGAACACTGTGAATGGTTTACGAAAAGTATACATTTTTATGTTAGCACTTAATGAATTGAACTTACTTAATAGTCCAGTAATACTTACGGAAGTATTATTACTTAAGAATATGTATATTTACACATTTGCATTTAACTGTTTTTCCAAATCCCTTATTGGATAAACTGAATATTTCCTTGAGTGCCATAGATATTAAGACTCCGATAAAAATAAAACTCCGCATTAACCATTTATGCTCGAGTGTAAAATATTGCAATGAAATAGCTTTGTTTTTTATTTTATGTACGCATCTTCATTAGTTAGTTTCAACGAATGTCGTTTATACGTCATTGAAAAATGTTGAATATTTCCAGTGAAAAACTTTCGAGTGCAAAGGGTTAATATTCTCAGGACAGTAATTACTCGGCGAAGTTGTTTGTTAGCTAAGGGTTGCATCTTCTCGCCGACGTCACAATTATGTGGGTGACGGTAAACTGTGCGAAAAGGGCGGATGCAGCAGGTGGCGCGACAGCTGCGAATTCGTGAAAAAGGTGAGTGCTAGATAATCTCTGGTTTGATACGCCCCCATGAAATCTTAGTTCCGAAAGGAATGTGATATAAGCCTGCCCGAGTTCCTTTTATAGTCACGCCGGACTAGGCAGCCAATAAGCGTCCAACAGGGAGAGGTCTCCGGAGTTGTAGTGCCAACTTTGAGCAACAACGAGGACTCGTGGAATTATAGAATTGGAAATATTGAAGCCAATAACACTTGTATACAATATAATTTTTGGGATAAATGATTAATGCGTAGCAGATTGCACTCGAAGTAACCATTTTCAAAGATTTTTTTAATTGTGTAAATGTAGTATGTTTGTATTGTTATAGAATTTGCTAAGTTATTTATAGTACTATATATCTTTATACGGTACAGTACTGTAATAATTCTCTGTGTCATCAATTTTCTTTTGAAGATGAAAGAAGTATTATACTGTCAAAATACCAATAGTTTCAAAGAAAAAGAATAATTTTTAATTTCGAGTAAAATCGAATATTCAGATTGTTTATACTCGTAATCTTTTACGAAAGTATATTAGCATTAATTCTGACGAATTCTTCGGTGCTTAATAACGTTCACTGTACAATTATTAGTATTTCACGCGTACTTTCAGGCAATCTAAGAATACAGATTTCAAACATAGTAACATTCTAATCCTGTAAGAAATTAATAAATGAGAAAAATTATACACGGCAACCATATAATATAATGTTTTAATAAAAACGTCTTCCTCCATGAAACTGAGAATTAACACAAACACTGCAGGAAGTACTCATGCTTTTTTTTGTATAACAAAGAACTCGGACAAATATTCAACCTCAAGGTTAAAAACTTGTTAGTCCAACTTAAATACGTCTCGGAAGGAATGAAAAGTTCAATATTAGCTTATTAACACGTCGAAATCGTTTCATGAAGGTACACGTATCGCACTGTAAATATTTTTCTCGTAAGTCAACAATTGGAATACGAGCATGGATGACTATGAAAGCAAGGAATCAGCGGAAATGGCAGAAATTATCGGGATTCGATGACGAGCTTGTCATCGGGAGCGATAGATTTTTTTTTCTGAAAACTAATCGAAAACAGTGTGACCTTGAAGATCGCGGTATTTAAACGATCGATTGCGCACACCTGGCCAATTAACGTCTGAAACGAAAATCATGTCTTTGGCGCCAGCGTGTCACGCGATCTCGATGTTACACGGTCCGATGATTTCTTATTGATTCACTCAGGAAACTCGTTTGTCGCGTATCTGATCTTTCAAGTGTGCCGTGAATAATAATGCTGACGAAGTTTTCCGCTCGTGTCGCCCACGAAGAGCACAGTTTGCCGCTCTGGAAAACATTCGTGTCAAGGAAGATAATCGCTGCTCACTATTGTAAAGCGTAAAGGGTATTGCGCGATCGGTGCAGGTTGTAAAATCGATGCATGATAAAATCTGTCTTCTCGGAACTAAATGGAATACAATGAATTTCAGCTTAACTCTTTATGGTGTAGTAGAATTGATTTGTTAGAGTGTCAACTTCTATTTATACATACATTATAATTATTAATATGACTGAGAAATAGCGGTTATACTTGACATTTAATTTCACTTGTGAATGGTATGTTGAAGATAATTTCATCGTGATTAATAAAATGCTTATTTCCATAGCTATTCGGTAAAACGTGTGATACAAGAAACTGCTATCAGATTTCCTTCAGTACTTCGCAGAATGTATGAAAATCTCAAGTTGTATTAATTATAATAGTTTAATAATTAATTTGTGCTTTAAGAATAATGAAGTATACGTTATACAATGCATACAATATTACATGAATATCAAGATAGTCGCATAGTATGATCAATATGAAAGGAAACATTTGAATTGATACTAGTAAATATTACTAACAACTAACTGCAATGACAACTGCGTTGATTGTATGCCTTTACAGTTGAAAATCGAAAATCGAGAACATAGAGAAGGTCCTCTGACAGAATTTAATTAATTATCGCAATAATTTTTAATCACTCGATTCGCATAAACTAACGATTACTGATATTACATTAAACACAAGAACAACCGTTTCTCTTAATCAAAAGCACCGCTGTACACACTAATCCGTCCATCTCTCAAGATTCAAGCTTTCGTAGAACTGTATTCACTAATAACGTTATTCTCACTACAAGACAATCTTCCACACAACGTTCAAATATTCCACATAAAATAACCCACATACCCCGCAAAACATTCCATAAGCAAACGGCAGCAAGTGACACACACGCGTCAAGAATCATCGAAACCAGGCAAAAGTTATTCCAAAGCAACAACTCCCCAATAGCGAAGCACGCAATTCACCGTGTCTCAATCATCGTTACTCGTGTCGCATATATCCCATAGAACGAAGCGGCGACCGGTCGCCGTTTCCGACCGGACAGTAGATTTCCTCGCGGCAACAAATTTCACGGTTGATACCGGCGCGGTGCCGCGGCTCCACTTATACGTACCCGGCAACTCGTTCGCCCGGCCGCCGAAAAGCCCGAACTTCAATTACCCGGCACAGGAGCCGTTATAAGATGCAATTGAGCCCGGTCCGTCGCTGCATAAATCGCTCATCTTTCCTCGAACGACGGAGGTGCAAAGGATACGCGAGCCGGTCGCCGCGCCGTTAATAAATACGCGCCAATAGGTTGGCGGGCGAGGGTGAAAAAAAAGGCAACCAGCTGTTGAGAGCTATCGTCCCCGGTGCCTTTCAGCCGTGCCCCGTCCACGGTGGACAATAAATGTTCGGTCGACTGATATCTCGAATTATTAAGGAATAATGACGCCATTTGTAACCGGCATGAGGACCGGCGAAGAGGAGAACCGTGGGCAAGGTGGAAGCGAGACCAGGGCAAGAACGGTCCGGAGGAAGCGCGCTCCAAGAGAAAAGGAGCAGGATAGCCTGGCGATCGCGGGGTGGCGGAAGGGAAGATAGAAAGCACGGCGATATTATTACTGATTGAAATTCTTCGTGGCCGGAGTTGACTTACAGCGCGCACCGGCAGATTGCACGATCAGTTTACGTTCCTCTCGTGGCGGTACGCCAACCATCAGCATCTTTTATGCCTGTCCCCTCCCCACCCTTTTCTCACGGTTTTGTCGGTCGCCGGATCCGACCTTTCTTAGCCACTGCATGCAACCTCGCACAACGGCCATCCGCGACCCTGAAGTGCACCCTGCGCGCTCGACACCTGTCGGGCAGGTTACGCCGCTGATTAGTCACCCGGTTAGTTTTAATTCCCCGAGACGATACGGGGCTCCTTGGCGTTCCCTTCGCGACGCTTGGCTCTTGCGTTAGGATACGTTTATAGGAGCTGTGATGCTTGGCGAACGCGATAACAGCGAATCGGAGAAATACTTTTCTCTTACCGAGTTGGCTGTCCTGTGGTTTATACATGAATGACATGGTCTTGCATATGATTCTGATTAAATATTTTCTTCGGAGGCTTCGTTGTTCGAATGTGAGTAATAAGGCAAAAAGTAACTCGCGACGTGTAATTTATGTGAGGTATATTCGGGAATGTATTCCTGTACTCAGAGTATGCCGATGAGAATAAGTGAGTTGGTTACAGAGGTTTACATATTTTCCACAAGTTTTGTAGTACATGAATCTATCGTATGGATTTCCTCCTTGCTTACTAGTTATATGCACTTTATATTTGCCCTTTGCGCTCGAAAGTATTTCGTTAGAAATATTTAACACTTCCCGACGAGACAAAGAGGATATTTTCTGAAAGTAACTCAAAGAGAGATCACACGTCAATTATACTAAGTTCGATATTAAATATCAAACTTTATAGTTTCACTGCACCAAACCAAGTAGCGATTGAGAATCACTTCTCGAGCGCAAAGGGTTAGAGTATAGTAGAGATCCTCGTATCTGTAATCATTTTTTCGTACTAAACTTCCGTAGGTGCATCGGAGGAATGGAATTCTTCACAGAATATTTAGAATGCGTCATTGGCCGTCAATCTTTCTCGAAATAAATTCTACGTCACCGATGCGTACGATCACGTTCTGATTGGTTTGATGATCGGGTATTATGTCAACGTTTCCCGCTAATTAGAGGAGCGATGCTTCCGCGAGCTGCCCGTATAGCACCGGCAGTTTCTCCTTTTTCGGCTATTTCTGCGGCAACGACGTTGGCAAAGATGTAACTCGTTTTCACTCGCCTCTAAACCGGGAAGATGTAACCCCTCCCGTCCGTTCCTCTCGATATAGTGATACGCCATGCGACGCAGTTGTACCACGAAGGTCGCATTTTTTAGTGGCTGCATCATCCTGTTGACACTCCGTTCGACGATGGCTAAGGATAACGGCGATAGTTTGACGGCTGCGCCGGCCGAGGAATTCTAACGCGGTCAACACGGACGAATTTACCTGTTCCAGGCTAACTTTCTTCTCTGGAGAGCGGGTGTTTCGATTGCAGGAAAAAGGTCGGCGCAGGCCGTGACTCATTGTCGGACAATCAAATCTTTCTTTTTAGCTTCTCCCCGTGTTTTGAGGATTACTGAATCGAACGAAATACGAAAGTGGGCCAGATATAGAATTTTATATTTATTTTTAGTGGATTGGTAATATAATATTTGTCATTCAATGCACACTTGCTATTCTGTGTTAACATTTAGCCAACTAACTGGGGATATCTCCCATTTTTCACTTAGTAACACATTGCCTTTTATTTTGTTTATTTTATTCTTTGTTATTTAGTAACTTCTGAATTGGGGTTCTTTGCTGTTCATCAAATACCTTCCTCCCTCGAGTGAAACACAATTTCTAATGAAATCAGTCACAGGAGTTTAATTGAAGTTAACGGGAAAGTTTGTAGTTACAGTTTTTCTAGGCGGTTTTAAGTTTTTAAGTAAGTTCGTAAGAAATAGGAGCTCTTTCATTTACGATCAAGCATATTGACAAATGCAGTGGTACAATCGTTATAATTGCAGGGGAGTCTGAGAAATCAAAAAGGCGAAGTATAATGCAATACACTCATTTTATATCGTATTATTCAAATTACCAGTGTAACACTGACCACTAATGAAACCTGCTGTACGAATTATTAGCTTCTCCGCAATATATCGGTGTAATGAAGCTTTCTAATTTGTACCAAAAGATTTCTCGACTGCTTTGTCGACACGTGAATAAGACTTTCTGAAATGAACCTCGATTGTTGCCGCTCTTCGTTATTGGCTCGATTGTACAGGCCAGTTTGAATTTGCATTGAAAATACCC